ACCAAAGGTTGGGGTCACTACGGCAAAATGGGGCAGGTTTCACAGCAACGCGAGCCATTTGTTTGTCATCAGTGGCTAGAGGATCGCTAGTAGCCATAATAAATATGAATAAATACAGATAAAAAAAAAAAAACGATATAGTTCAAGAATATTGTTGCAGTACACGTGAAGAAACACAAAATAATTAATGTTAGGACCTGGGTTCAAATGAACATAATATAGGAAAAAACTCACCCGCTTGACGAATACATACGAATCCATGTGCGGAATAAAAGGTAGAAAATATCACCTTGATGTACAGAAATTATCCACTCGCTTGATGTTGGAACACTATCACTAATGGAAGATGAAGGTAATCCGCATGTCTGAAAGATGATCACAAATGGAAACATGAAGGTAATCCACGTGGCTGTAATATGATGAAACTGATGCACGATCCAATAGACACGATAAGTAATCCAATACACATAAGTAAAAAATATTGGTTCAGCTGCATTTCGCACATTATTACAAGGTCTTGTTTAAGCACAAAATTTCTGCTGTACTATAAATTTCGACGATTCATTTGGCTTAAGCCTCACCGTCCTGAAGTCACCATTTGTTGCACGTGGTTGCGGCTGTGTGCAACAACAAACTATGCGTATTGGAATTTGCCAGTGCTTTTAAGGATGAATTCATAACATGCCATAAGAGCCAATTTTTTGATAACAAAAACATTTAATCACATCACAATATTAAAACTTAATTACTACAGTCGACAGACAATCACGTTGGAGGAAAGCGAGCGACCAACCGCACCGACGACGAGACGTGACTGTGTGTCGCCGAAATCACCTTCGGTTACAGTTAGTGATAACGGCGCGCGGTTGGCGAGTACAACACATGTTTACAGAGTCGCCACAATAACAAATTCCAAAACTGCTATTTTAGAATTAAGAAACTCAAAGTACTGTGAGAATTTTCGAAAGATACCGATGGCAGAAGAATAGAAGAAGGAAATATGTGACTTTATACTATATATTGATATAATGCAGAAATATTCTTCTACTAAACACTTAGCAGCTTCTAAATTGTTAAACAAAAAATGCTTCGCTAGTTTTATTAATGAACATTCTACAGAAGAAATAGTACTGACAGCTGAAGTGTATATCCAATGACTGACAAATAATAGCTTGAAACTGAACTAAAAATATTCTATTGTAGGTCTGATATCCATGAATACTGCAAATTAAATGAGCTACTGAAACTTATCTTCAAAAATAATCTAGATGATGTTCTTAGTGGAATTACGAAACTGATAAAAATTCTCCTGAGACTTCACATGACTACATCAGAGGCAGAACGCTGCTTTTCAACATTGAAAAGAATGAAAACTGTTCTAAGAAGCACTAGAATTTGGAAAGACTAAATGCGCTTGCATTGCTTTCAATAAAGAAAAATTTCCTCGGTTGTCATCCAGAGATCAAGGAGAAAATTATTGATTGTGTCGTGCAAAGTAAAACAAGAAGAATGGATTTCATTTTTAAATGAATAGACAAAGAGTGAACTGTAAAAATTTTGGTTAAAGTAATTAAGAAATGCTTAATTTTTTTATTATAAGATTTCCTGATGTTTCAAAATAAATTTTCTTTTTATACATGTTTGTTTCCTTTCAGACAATTTTAAAACAAAGGTTAAATTTTTTTGGAACAGCACCTCCACTAATTTTAGCCACGAGCCGCCACTGGAGGTAGGGTATTCTGATGTTGCGAAAATTTGACAGGCAAGTAACCGCCATTTGTGAAATGCAGTAACTGCTTAACCATTAAGGAATTACTGTATCTCCCCCACTCCCACATATGCTCATGTAGATGTGGTTAACATGTCCAGCTACGACGGGTTGGCCTCTGTTATGGCCTGTTGGCTGAACTTGTTTTGGCCCGGGGGGGGATTTCACCCCTTGAAACAACAGCATGTCCAGCTGGAAAAAGGAAGATCCACGGTTCAAGTCCTGACAAACACCTAGTAATTTTCGCATTTGCCTAGTCTGTAATATGTAATGGTCTGTACAACTATGCTGAAGTTAAAATGTGGTGGATGATAATTTGTCATTACTTGGTTGGCTCGACTTGTCTCTTGACTCTGCTCAATCACTCTTAAAGTGGTGGAGAATGTAAATAATTATCGCATTCCTCCTTGTATGCTCTTGTGGTAGCATGTTCCATCCATCTAACAAATGGAAGATCCGTGATTCGAATTATGGTGAGGGCACAGTTGAGTCTTCATATTTCCTGCTCTAAAATGCCTAATGACTGAAGTGACAGACCAAAGTGGTAGAGCTTTGAATCAACAGCTCTGAAAAAATTATTTAAATCAACTTTTTTTGTAATAGTTTCATTCATATTTTAAAGTAGTTAGTGAGAGTTACTGTCAATTATATATAATTTAATTGTTTATTATGTGTGCACATTTGTTTTCTATCCAAAATATTTTTTGGGGGGTAGCGGGGGGGAGTTAGGCTTCGTTCAGATGTGGTATAAATGTCATAGAGGCATAAAAATGTTTTAAGACATAAAATGAGGGAGTTCTGTTCATGCCTGCAAAACAGAATCTAAACTGTAACCAATTACAGAAGCTAAATTTACGCATGCGTGGTTGTGTCTATGGCTTACCCACTCAATAGGTTTTGCGTGTTTGCTCTGACTCGACTAGTATACCAAGTAGGCATAGAGTTGAAAACTTCGAACTTTATGCCAAAACTCCTTAATCAGTTTTTGTGATATACCAAGGTGTGGTTACCTAGCAATGAAGCTCAGCTTAAATCATTTATGACATTTATACCACCATCTGAATGGAGCCTCATTGTTCATATTTCTACATTCCAGGTTTATTTTTCTACACCTGATTTAAAATCTTATGTAAGTCACATTTTATTATGAAATTTAGAAAAGCTATAGTGCTTACGAAAATTGCTTCAACATGAAATAAAGGCATGAAAAAACAATCTACCATTTTTACTAGAAAATAAGCATCTTTCTCTCTCTCTTTTTTTTATAAAAGGTCTTATAGTCGGGTATTTTAATGAACGATATTGCAGAATGAGAGGAAAGAGTTTAATTATCATACTGATTACAATAATTACAGTGATTTAAATACTAAATAAACCACACAAATAAATAACATATTTAAACAGCATAACTAACACTAATTAGGCCGTAAGTCTAGACCATTAAAATGAAATTGTTTTTTATTTATTAAAAATATACATTTGTAGGGTTAATTTATTTTCCTAATAGTTATTTTGATTTTGAAACAAGCCTAGGGAATGAGTTTTCAGGATTACAGATTATGAGGTAGAAACAAATATTTAAGCTGAAGTGTGGGTCACTTCAGTAACCTTAGAAGAAAAGTTCAGCAGCTCGAACGGCAGCCAATGAGGTGAATTCTCCACATCCAAATGCCTTTTCAAATTTTTCCAACTCACATACGCCAAGTACATGTTCCAGCTTCGCCTATTTGGCGTGGTGTTAATCACCTTAATTTCTAATCACCCACCAATGCCTTAAGGCATATCCCCCAACAGAGACATAAAGTAGCATTTGGCTACTAAATGCCGCCTAGCCGTTTAATCGATTTCACTGCAGTAGGAGAGTGTGTTCTGACTTTCGGCCACGTTGTTGCTGCTAGTCTAAGCTTAGTGTTGTATGGCCGTACTGCTGCGTGCCTGCTAATATATGCCGGTGATCTTAAATAAGGGCCAACTCTGTTAGTTAATTCTGTGCAGCTTTGGCTGGTTTATTTTAGTTAATATTAGATTAGTTTTATATTTTCTATCTTAAATTAAAGCCCAAGTGGAGGCTTATTGTAAGCCTGAGAAGGGGTCATCTGTTAACTTATTTTGAGTTAGAATAAAGGGTAAATTTAACCATTCTTTGGATTTCTTACTTACTACTTACAAGTAGGTAAGAAATCCAAAGAACTGTGCTGTGAATTAAAGAAGAATGAATAAAGAACCATTGAAGAACTGTGCTGTGAATAATTGCAGCACAGTTCTTTAGTATTCTAGCTCTAGGAATTCTAGATTCAGCTAGGATATTAATATTACACATTTATTCTTATATAAAGAGAAAACATACTTCTTGGAAATGAATTTTATTTAGTTTTGAAAATTGCATCCTTTAAATAATGACAATTTTACTCTTGACACTGACACACTCTTTCTAAGGAGTAAACCATCACCTGTAGTAATATTTCTTCATGGATGTTGGCCTTTAATTTCTGAATGGCTCCAGGATTCTTACAGTATACTTTCTCTTTCAAAAAAAAAAAAAAAAAAAAAAAAAACATAGAAAGAAATATGGAGTGGTTACATCAGGTGGAAAAAATGACTAGTTGCTTTCAGAGTTCCGAAAAATTAGTAACTTTTTTTCAAAAATAAAAAAGTCATTTCATTTTAATATGGTATTTAATGATGGATCATTAATTTTTCGTATTTTTCCCCATTTATCATAATAAAATCTTTTGTAGTTTAGTAATTTTGTAATAAATTATTTGGTAGCTATCATTTTATTCTAATAAAAAACAAGTGAATTCTGATCAGAACCATGCTGTCAGCAAATATGCAACTGCATTTTTTCTCATAAAATGCACTCTAAAGTATAAGGGGGGTTTTATTTTCAAGTAACTGTGATACATTGAATTTTTTTAAAAAATGTTGGGAAACACTATATTATCAATGTAGGTGCACAAAATTCAAGAAAACTGATACACAAAATTTCAAGAAAATGAATTCGCTAAAAGTGGATAAAAAATTAGAATTCAGTCCACAGTTTAAAAATGTTTCTTATTTCAAAGAATTTAAAAATTGGTGGATTTTTTTCACAAATGAATTTTAATTGCAGAGAATCTCGAATTTTTGTTTTCCCACATAGTTCTAATTCTTTTGTTAAAATGCAATGTTTTATTATGTTGTAAATTATAGACTCCTTTTTTTATCTCTCTCTCTCTCTTTTTTAATGCAGGTTGCTTGATATCTGTCAAGGACCACGTTTAGCTGAAGAGCAGCAGCTGATTTTATATCTTGTATTCGAACATATTGATCAAGATTTGGCCACGTATCTAGACAAATGTCCGAAACCTGGGCTGCCACCTGAAAAAATCCAGGTAATTACTATGTCATTGCACTTTTTTATAAATTTATATTTATGTATTACTTTACCCAGCTTATGGAGAGATTCTAATTTCTTCTGTACATAGTCTATATAATTTAAAAACTGAGTATTGGAATTTCATTTTATTACCTATTACCATTTGTTACTTCCAATGAAACAATTTCATGTCAATATAAATGATTTAATTTCTGTTATGTTCTATCATTGACTAAAAGTTTTGTTTTCTTCATTCAGCTGTTCTTAATTTTTTTCTTATTCATTTTTTAACAATTTCTATTAAATTTTAATCTTTTGTTAAAAAAAAAATCCGCGCTGCAAAAATTAAATAAAATATGCTCGTATAATTTTTTAATATTTAACTGCAGCAGAAAAGTAAGGGTTTCTTTTTTTTAATTTTATCAGTAATGTTTTGAAAAAGGCATTCAAGTGTAGATAGAAAATGATAATAAAAATGCAATAAAGTCTTTCTGGTGTTGGACAGTGCATAAACTGTGTATATGGTTCTGTAACCAGTGTACAAACGTTGTTCTGAAAGCAGGGCCAGTCCTAAGTGGTAGACAAGGCAGGCAACTGCCTACAGTGGCAAATTAAGGGGTGGCAAAACCAAATGAATCCCTCCCCCCCAAAAAATAATTCAAAAAATATATTCCTATTGCTGAAGTCTAGAAAATAAAGGAATAGTAAAATAAAATTAAATACAACAGGAATTGACAGACTTCTGGCAATTCCATAGTTTGAGTTGCACAGTAGAGAAGCAGACAAGCTTCTAAGTTTTGGGTATAGTTTGACCGTCTTAGCTGTGACCATGAATGCAAACACATGTGCGTCATTTGGACCAATTTATTCTCAAAATAGGGTGGATTGAATTATGCCGTAGGGATTTTTTCTGTTCTTATTTTATACTAGAGACATATGAGGTAAAAATTCCATATTCCCTCGCACAATTTTTCATAATCCAGTTTACTAGGCTAACCAATGAATCCACTTCTCCAAATTTTACAATAATGAAGTTAAAGACTTTATAAATCCTAGAAAAGCAGGAAAAGGAATTTGTTACCACTTTGTGCATGTTCTGTAAAAATATGTTTATTTGTACTACTTTTGCATTATCTGTATCTTCCAGTGTACTACTTTTGCATTATCTGTATCTTCCACCTGTAAATTATGTCAATCATTTTTTTTTTTTTTAAATTTGCATAGCATGTGTCCTCCACTGCCCCTATGCTGTAATTTCCATGTCAATAGGTTTATCTAATCTGAATTGCTCTAGTTGACTCCAGAAATTTTACTTCTCCCATTTTGTGTGTGCACCTCCTAAGTTATTCACTAATTCGAACTAGGCCTATTCCCTCACCGATTAAGGGCAACGCATATTAGCGCTTATTCTGCATATACTGGCACTTGCCTAGAAGCAATTCAGAGACAGGTATGGTGGCTACAGTGGCTAAATGCTTATACACCAGCACGAATCATAATCTACGATTTTTTACAGTGGGTGTCTGTACATGTATATGCAATCATGAGATGCAAAGTGAGAAATGCGTGTCCATCGCTGAAAGGATTTAACAAGCACTTTTTACCCCCTAATAAAAAAGAGTCTGATTTAAAACAACGCCTTATGCAATAATGTCTGCCAAGTCCATTTGGATGATTGTAGTGATACAGTTTATACAACATTTACAGTGTAGTGGATGTGAAAAGTTCGTTTTTGAGACAACTTACTGTTGTTTGTTGCACCTGCACCTTTAAAATTCTAAGTTCACTCAACAATTTTAAATACGGAATGATAAGAGTTTTAAAAAATGGAGAACATGTGTCAAGAAATTGGCTGGTATATTCAGTGTCAAAAGATTCTGTGTCCTGTGTTCCTCCCCCTCCCAAACTTTTTGGTAATTCAAAATTAAGTTCGTTTTCAAATGAAGGTTATAGAAAATGGAAAAATATTGGTGAAATATTAAGAAAGCATAAAGACTCGAAAACTTATGTAAATAATTTAAATCATGGTTATTGCTGAAACAAAGGTAGCAGTCAGAAAGCAGATTCCACTGTACAAAGATTAATTAATTCTAAAATCAAATATTGGTATAAGATAATTTTACAAATAATGTCAGTTATTAAATTGCTGGTGAGAATTCTGTAGCCTTTCGGTGGACAAGCGACAAGTTTTATGAACATAACAATGGGAATTTTCTGAAGTTAATTTAATTGCTAGCTGAATTTGGCCCAATAATGGATGAACATATTTGAAGAATCCTCAGTAACGAAGAAAAGACAGCAACATATTTTGGAAAAAACATACAGAGCTAAAATATTTTACTGTTACATGATAACATAAAGTCTTATATTAAAAACAAGTCCAAAATATGAAATATTATTTGGTTATTCTTGATTGCACTCCCTATATGAGTAAAGTTGAACAAGTGAAATTTTTAATAAGATATTTTTGTTTTGGTGAAATGCCCAGCTGTGGGGAGATAGTTTCCCCGCAAAGCCATGTTTAGGGCTGCCATAAAGTGGTAAGGAATGGAAGGTTACCATATTTGGCACGAAATCACCCATTGGGCGACAAAATTGGCAATATGTCATACAAGGAGCGAGAGCATTCTAGAATGCATTCTTAGCGGTTTCCCGAGAATATTCTCGAATGTAGGTTAAAGCTATATATACCCTGCCTGTACGTGGAGTAGAGTGTAGTAGTAGTTTTTGAGTTCAGAGATTAGCTTGAGAGCGGTTGGCTGAGTCGGGAGCTGTACTTTAGTGCTTTGCCATGAAGCTGTCTTCACTGTTATAGCCTGAAGTCTGTGCTGCTGATTGTTTTAGTGTTTTTGTTGTAGTTTTTTGATGACTCTAAACATGCCTTTGGAACTCTCCTGTGTAATACTGGCAAATAAATTGTGTTTTGAGTCTTCATGGAGTCATCAAATACTGCAAAACCACAAACCCATAGAATGTAACAATATGTTTTCATTGATCAATCAGAAGCGAGATTTGAATGCAACATTGATGAACATTTTCTGGGTTTTCTTCCTATTAAAAGATCCACTGGTAAGGAATTATCTTTTGTTGAGAATTGGAAAAATATGGATTAAATTTAGAAAATATGAGAGATCAAGGTTACGGGAATGGTTCAAATATCAGATGTGACAAATTGGGAGTATAATCAAGACTTAAAACTTTACATCCCACAGCATTTTACATACCTTACAGCAGCTATGCATTAAACATGGTAATTAATGATGTGGCAAAATCTTCCTTCAAGACAGCAAATTTTTTTAATGTGGTTCAAAGGCTATATACATTTTTTTGCATTGTAATTTGTTCATTGCACTATATTAAGAAAGCACTTTAAAAATCTTACATTAAAGCCATTGAGTGACACTTATTGGGAAAGTCGTATAGATTCTGTAAAACCTATGTGTTTTGAAATAGAAAATATTCATAATGCCTTTATTAAGAACTTATGAATATGCAGAGATACATAATATGATTCGAGATGAGACCAGTGGTTTATTGATTGCAATAAAACAATTTAAATTTTCATGTTGGACTGTCACTTGGCATAAAATTTTGAATCATATTAATCTAATTATTTTGTGTTACATTTTCTATACATGACTTTTTAATCTTTTCAGGAAATTTTATATCAATTGCTCAGTGGTGTGGATTTTTTACACTGCAATCGTATTGTACATAGAGATTTAAAACCACAGAATATACTCATCACAAATAATGGTCAGGTAAAAGTTGCTGATTTTGGTTTAGCAAGGATATTTGAGCAGCAAGTACCCGTAACATCTGTGGTAAGTTAATTATCTATTCATTCTGTTAGCCTTGATTATGTCTTTAATTAAATTCAATTTAAAAATTATTCTGAGCTGTAAATGGTTTTGCTGTTTATTATTATGATTATAGGATATATTACATATAAAGCTCCTTGTTTAAAAAAATACTGCATGCTCTAGCAAACTCTTGTTGATCAATTCTTCTATTTTTCTTCAAATATTAAAATGCAAAATGCAAAAGTTTATGATTGATTTGTAAGCAGTCATCATCATATTTTACACAAAATACAAATCAGCACTTTTCATGGGGAAATTTTATCATAAACTATGATTCAACCTTGAATAGCAGTTAAGAAACAAAAAGTTACTGTCTGAAATGTAATAAATCTTTCATTTTAAGAACTGCCAGAATAAATGAGCAAAAGAAAAATAGAAAATGTATATTTTAGTACAATATGCTTAATTGTTAGTAAAGCTGTAAAAAAAATCAGTAACAAGGAAATATATCAAAGCTGCCAAAAAAAAAAAAAAAAAAAAAAAATGGCACATTGTGCTGAAGGGCATTCTTTGAAAAACATTTCCTCAAATATCATCTTGTAAACAATTGTGCATTTTGTATTTTAATGTTACATGAAAAATGAAATGATTATTAGTAGTTTACAATGGCTGATTTGATTTTATTATTGTCATATACATGGGTTTTATTTTGAAAATCTACAGTGAAAAAGTATGAATAAAAAATCATATTGTGTTTTTTAAAAGCTTTTTTCATCAATTATAGAAACGCATACCAGTATTCAAAATATAATATCCATTACCTTCTTAAGTATACATAGGTTTACAGCAGTGCTAAAAAAAATTACATTTTTTTGCTGTAGCATTGCCATAAAAATTAATAAAAAATGTAAATTAAACATTGTAAGCAGTTTTGATCACTTAGTTTTTGAAAAAAATCAACATCACTTTTAAAAAAATAGGACAAGTTACATGTGTACATAAGAGAGAATAAATTTTAAAAATAATACACATTTTCCTGTTTTTGTCACATTGCAGTTACACTTAGTGTACTGTCTATAAGCAGACAAAAGAGTGAACTGGAAAAGTTATTGACATGCAACATATCAAGCTATAGCTGTTATATGAGAGCAAACAGATAATTCGACAAATGATTTAAAAAAAAATATGAATTAGCTTTTGAAGAAAGATAAACAGGGGCGTAGCTAGAGTTTCCAGCGCCAGGGACAACTGAAGAATTTGCACCCCTTTCTGTGTGCCAAGAATGGAAAACATTTCATTAAAAAAATTCATAGCATCAATTTGGCGCCCCTTGGATGCTGCACTCGGGGACAGATGTCCCCCCTTGCCCCACCCTAGCTACACCACTGAAGATAAGTTCATAAATTTTGCAACAGTGAGTCATCTGTATGCCTGCTGTATTTTATATAATGTTTCGTCTGTGTAAAGAGAGATCAATAAACTGGAATAGGAAGCACAGACTACCTTCTAAAATGTATTATACCTCTCTTGTTGTTTGTAATGACCACATGTGTATGACAGCAAAGTTTACTAATAATATCTTGGACACTAAATTGTCATGTAAAATAGAGATAAAAAAAAGATAATGTCTCATCACTAAGATTAGATTCAAACTTTGGTATTTGTAATAAACCATTTTTTCCAGCTAGAATTCCATGTTTTGCAGTAACTTCGTGGTAATTAAGTAGAGATTATAATTTATCTGTAATTGCTCAGAATTTTTGAAGTCATCGTGAGGATGAATTTCTTTGCTGAATTCCCTCTCATTTTCCTATAAATATTCATGTGAATCTTTGACTACTAATGGGACATATATGTCCCACTAAAAGTTTTAAAAATTACTGTTGGATTAAAAAGTGCTTAGAATCTTGTGAATGTTGGGGATTATCTTCCAATAGTTTAAAAATCAAGACGTTGCTGTGCTCGTTGCACACAAATGAACAAAGAAAAACAGAGAAAAGAACAAATATGACTCACCCAATGTGTAATTTTTGGTTATGCAAAGAATGCTTTACCCTGTATCATATGATGTAAAATCCATTTCATATAATAAAGTTTTCCAGAATAATAATTGTGCTTATAGTAAATAGATTGCTATGTGTGGGACATATGTATCTCACCATTAACTACAGCTGGGACATATGTGTCCCAAGCCTTTGGCTTGAAAACTGTTTCTCAAAGAAATCTCAAATGCTAAATTTACCTTATTTATAACATATTTTGTTCACTTGGATAGAAAACAGGGTAAAAAAAAATGTTTTTTAAATCCGTTGTCAAAGGGTTAATTGCCGATCATCCAATCTGTTCTACCATTCATTTAAAAACAGCTCATAATACATTATTTTAATAGTCCTAATTGGACTTTTCAGATGAATTTGATATTAGGAGGCATTCCGACTGCATCTCACCAACTTTACACATTTGCTAATTTTGTGTATTAGTTCTTAAATGTACCTACGTACAATTACAATACAATATAATGATGATGTATGAAGTCTTGGTGGACACTACTACAGATATGTATAGATTTTAATTTGCATTGTTAAAACTAAGGATAGATTGAATTGTGAATTTTCTAAAGTTTTAATTCCTGGAGTCCTACAAGATTTTCAAAATTTTTTATTATCAAATCTTTTGAATCTTCACATATGAATAAGAAGAAGGAGAAAGGGGAAAATTACATTACATTAAAACTTTTAAATAAATCAAAATTTGAAATCTTCATTTCATGAAAAAAATTTTAAGAATACATTTTTTAAAATACACCTATGTTTATTAAGAAAATTTCATTAAAATTTAATAACTGTATACATAATTAAACTCTTGAATTTTAAGGTTCATTTTCATAACATAGTTAGATAAATATATTTGAGTAACCCCTGAAATCCTGTTAAATCAAAGATCAGCAACCATGCTAAACAGTTCAACTGGTAGACAGTTTGAGTTATGTTTGCAACACAGCATTTATATACCATTCCATTAGTTTTCACAAACATTGATCATTTATTTATAGTAGATTATCAATATTCAGAATTATTGAGACAGTTCTATTGATAGTTTTGAGAAAGTGCAGTGCACCATTTACTTGAAAATTTTGGTAGATTTCTTTGAATGCCATACTGAAACATTGTGGCAATTATGAAGTAATTTTAGTGGTTCAGATACCATTAATTTTGCAACAGACTCATTCTTTTTTTATGAAACCTTCTGTTAAGCACCAATAAAACTAATCTTTCTAAAGTTTTGAGATAAAATATTTGGTGATTTTCTTAGCTTGGGATTTGAATGATGAGAAAAGCACTGCAATTCTGGAAATTTAAAACTTTTTGTAGATATCTGGGATTTAAGGATTTGAATGTCTCTTTCTCAGAGGAAAAAAAAAATAAACTTGATAGCCTTGTTTGCATCTAAAGAATTAAATAAATTATTTGATTTGATCTCTCTATGTTAGCTGTCATGTAAACTTTATATGGCATTCATAATAAAGCATGTTAAATTTAATATTAATTTTTTATGCAAAAATCTGAAAAAGTTGACAACTTATTTTAAAACAATTTTCTCAAATAGCATATATACAGCCAGTTTCCACGAAAAAGTTCTTCACAAAGACATTATTCTTATTAGGTAGATAACTTTAATTTGATTTTTCATATTAAAATAAATAAAACTTTCTTGAAAAGCAATATTTCTGTAGCATGCTCTATCCTGTTTCTTTTATTTTATGATTTCCAGAGAAGTGCTTCTAAGTTGGGGAGGGGGGGACTAGATCTATTTTTTAAACTAGTGTTTTATTTTTCAATGAATTCATTTTTTTTTTTTTTTTTTTTTTTTTTTTTTTAATCTTTCATTTCTGCTAAAAGCAGTCAGTAGTTATAAACATGGTGGGGGCTACTAAAAGGAAAAGCTTGGTTTTTGTTTGAAAAAAGAATGTTCATTTGCTTCTTATGGTAGTTTCAAATTTGTATATCATAAGAAAAACTTTCTCGAATATACAGCAGCAGAAAAAAGAATTATTTATTTATATATAAGTTACATTAAATTATATAAAAAATATGAAAGTATCATTTATTTCTTCTAATGTTTCTTTTTAAGGGAAAAAATCTATTTCATTTTATTTAAAATGATGTAAATATAGAATTATGGCTGTTGGAAAAATCTAGTCACAGCTTTTGAAATTCCTGAATCCTTAAATGTGGTTCGTATTGTCATGAAGTTTGGCCGTCCTTGACATGCAGGTCCCCAAATTTTATGTCTGCTAATAATCACTGAAGTTTTCTTTGCTTAAAATAATTATCCTTTTATGCAAAATTTTAATTTGAATGTTTTAAATTAATTATTTAGTAAAATATATTGAGAAGAAGGTAACATTAATTATAAATGTGAAATGATGCTTAAGTGAATGTTATTTTTAACAAAATTACTAATAGTGACAGAATTCTGCATCTACATAAAACCATTCTGTAACTTAAATTCAATTAATTATATTAATCTATTTCAAGACCTTTCACAGAGTAGCAGTAATGCTTCTTTTCAGGCTTTAGCAGGAGGAGACAGACCCATCAAGAGCAAGTGAAGGATGTGGCTGAACTCAGGGGGCTCAGACAGCTTGAAAACAAAACAAAATTGGGAGAAATTTTATTTAAATTATTTGAAGTAGAAAGGGGTATTAGAGCTATCATGGGGACCAATTTTCAGTTCTCAGTGCCCTGGTAGTGGATATATGCCAAGTCAGAAAAGCTGTTTGATTCGGCTGATATCACATATAGCTGTGACTTAGAAATCTGTATATTATAAAACAATATCTTAAACTTTGAATAACTTATTTCATACTTTTTAGGTAGTTACACTTTGGTACCGTTCTCCTGAAGTCCTTCTTCAGTCAAGTTATGCCACTACTGTTGACCTCTGGAGTTGTGGTTGTATATTTGCAGAATTGTACAGGAGAAAGTAAGAATTTTTAAACTAAATTCATAAAAATATTATAATGATCAAATAGCTGATAACTAAGTACTCATGTATATCAGTATCCTCGAAAAATGCCCTTCACTTGTATATAGGTATATGATACTTCCTAAAATTAACTTTGCTCGTATACTAGAGCTTAAATTGCTCCAGTACTTCTCATTTTCTGTGATAAATCATCACACTAGCCGGAGTGCAACAGAGCCCTAAATATAAAAGGGCTCCAGTACTTTTTTATGTAAGTGAAACAAAGTTTCAGCAGATAAATTTTATTTTAAAAATAAACATAAGTTTAAAATTGATTACAACTTCCAATTTCTTGCCTTTCTTTGGGTAACAAACACTTAGCTGGAGATTAAGATTTTTAAGGAAAGAAAAGCCCCCATCCATATGTCAAATCCAGGTAGTGCAATAAATTTGTGGCGTTCTGACAGATACTTTAACTTATATTCAAGAGATGGTGCCACCTGTCAAATCCAGTTCTTAATCTGAGTAGTGAAGGGACGTCAATGGCTTTCACTCCTCCCTAATAACATACAAATAATTCTTGCTGCTCCCAATGAATTAATAAACTTGTTACCCCAGCTTATGTCAGTGCTTCTAATGCTGCACCTTCAAAAGTTCATCCCTGGAACAATAAGTGGCCGAATTGACAAAGGAAGTATCTGAACTCTCGACAAGTCTTCATGCTTCACAACGATATAATCGATCGAATAAGGGCTACACAATAAATTTTGAAGCAGAAGTTGCCCATACAGCACACTTAGTTGCTATAGCATTGCAATGACCTCTCAATGTTGCATTTTCTTCACATTACATTTGTGACCACTGTACAACGCAGAAATGTCGCATTGTGATGTCGATGTGATTGTGTGTCGCATTGTGATGGATGTCACATACACGTCGTAGCAAACATTTAATGTGACAACAAGAAATTGGCAGTCTTCCCCACCCTGGCCTTTCTTGACCTTGCTCGCGCAGTTCTTCTTTAATGGGAGGTATTCTTGCGCGCTGACTTCCCTCCCCCCGATTCATCGCTATGTGTCTCAGTAAACATTTCTAAATAAACGATTCTTTTATCCTAATAGCTTGCAATTTTAGTTATTTCTTTTTTATTAAAAATATTAACAGTTTTTAGCGTGTTTTTATTGATATGGTACTTTGAAATCATTGAACTATATTCTGTGGTGAATGGATTCACATTCTACCGTATCTCGTGTTATCAAGAGAGTTTGTTGTCTGCATAGCGTTTGTTTGTCTTCAGGATTTTCGCGACCATTTTTTTTAGTTCTGTTCACCGAACACATCGTCTGTGCTACATTTTCAGGTAAGCACCGTTTATTGTACATTGAAGTGAATGATATCAGTAATAATTAATATGTAATAATAAAAGCATAATTTAAATGCTATGAACAAAAAGAAGTACTGGCAGTAGATTAACTTTTATTTGTATTACAAAGAGTGTGGAAGCAAAAGCCATTATCAAAATTGTTTGTTCACTGCTTAGAACTTTTAATTTAGGGAGACAGGTTTATTTGGTAGATATAACTCACTTTTTGTTGTTTTTAATGTTAAAATATAATGTGAAAAAAATTGATTTTATGCATTTTACTGCAGTACTCTCATCATATTTAGCTATTTTTTGAAATTATTCACAAAATAATTTCTTCCTTCCATGCGTGGTATTTAGCGCCACATTATAAATGATGCAAAACTTCCATAACCACATTTTAGTTATATAGAACACATTTTTTTAATTATTATAACTATACAAATGATGTATTACTATAAAACACTGAACTTTTCTACATGTTTCCTGCATATAAATTTCTGAGATTAGTTTTAAAATTTTTTATATCAGATCTTTTCTTTTCGCAAATTATGTCACACTTTTACGTATAATATATTTGTGTTGTTAAAATAACTCAATTTTCTTATTAAGAGATTTAGTTAGAGAAACATATTTCCTGGTTTAGGTCAAATTATTTGAATATGGCAAACGAGGGCTACCTACCTAAGAGAAGGGGTGCCTTTGTGGAGGACTTTCTAAGGAAACTAACTTGTATTCACTTTCTATATTAAGAAAAACATGAAAAACCTGTGCAAAAGTATTTGTTACTTGAGAGATTAAAGGCCCGTCTACACGTAGCGATTTTCTTGGCCGACAATATCTGAGATAGCTTGCGCTCGCCTGTCCACACGGAACGATTTTCTCGTTAGTACAGGAATTCACTCAGCCAATCACTATGAAAGGAAGTGTTCCCGCCCTCTACAGAGTCACACTGTCTGCGATTTGTAAACAAAGCTTACGGTGTTGTCAAATAGTAAAAATAATGGATGACTATCTTAAATTGCTACTATAGATAGAGCTACAATTTTGAACTTAGCTACTGCTACAGAAGGGGGGAAAAAAATGCATTTGGACCAGAAATTGGGTCAAACGACGAGAAATTCACAGTGCCTTCATAATTCCCTGCTCCAGGAGCTGCGTATTGAAGGCACAGTACAATTCGGAAAGTATTTACAGATGATGCCTCGCGATTTTGATTTTTTTTAAAAATTTAGTTTGCAAGAAAATTAAAAAGAAAAAAATGCTTTTCTTTTGTGTACTGAGTACACAGATTACTCCTTTTTTGGTTTATTTATTTATTTTTAAATTTCACTTTCTGGTACTCCTATTTGTGCATTTAAATCTTGAAATAATAAAATAAGTAACTACTCTGCTTTAAATCAAAACCTTTATTAATGAATAAATAGACAATAATGTCATGAATATCAAACCAGTATGAGTAAAAAGTAGTAATAAAGAATAAAGATTACTACATTACAAAGCAGCAGTGTAATTTCAGTGCAAAAATTTTAAATAAGAAATATCATAAAGGTGCAAAGTCTTAAGTAGTATATTTATTGATGATAAAGTCTAACGTTAGGAATGGAGATAAATAAATAAGCAGAGATTCATCTAAATTAACATATATTGAAACACAAAATGGCACAAGTACAATAAATTCTACATGCTAAAGTAAAACAGTGACAACAACTAAAAAAAACGTTGCCAAGAGAAAAATATAAAAAGCGTGTTGCCACACATGTTGTAAAATACAAATGGGAAATATAATCACAAATAAAAGTTATTTGCAACACTCCCCCTTGATTAAATTTCTCTGAGTCCTACACTGAACCTTTGATTGAACAAGGCTTTCTTTCGCACACTCTTTGTCAACATGTCTGCTGCATTTGAACTAGAAGACACATAGGTAAAGTTCAACGACTTCTCTTCAACCTTCTCTCTGAAGAAAAAATGCCCGAGTTCAATATGTTTGTTATGCTCTGAAATGACATGGTTTTTAGCTAAAGAAATGGCATCCTGATCATCAACAAATAAGTTTTGGGGAAGGTTTAAAAAATGTTCTCCCACAATATCCTTTAAAAAAATTTCTGGAACCACAGTACTGTCCTTGGCTGCACGGCACATTGTGAAGTACTCAGCTTCAACTGTTGACAATGCAGTCGTCTGTTGTTTCTTACTGCTCCATGAGACAGCTCCACCTGCTAGTAGCACATCACATAGCCACTAAATGATTGTCTGTCAATCTTATCACCAGCCCAATCAGAATCACAGAAACACTTCCAAATCCTTTCCAGTCTTTTGGAAAGTCAGCTTTAATTCCTGTCTGGTCTGTTTTAGAAGGATTGTAACGAAGGATGTGATGTACCTAGCCCAATGTTCCTTGCTTGGGCAATTATTGAATTGGCTCATGTAAGTAGTAGCAAAAGCTAAATCCGGATTTGACAGAAAGAAGGTACAAGGGGAAAAAAAATAAGCCTGAATATATAAAAATAATAAAATTTATTATTTATTTTGTGTAATTGAACTTTAGGATTTTCCATGCAAAATATCTAGACAATTAAAGATAAGAAGATAAAAGATCAACTGCACAATTTATCTAAAACAAAGGTCTCTGAATCCTGATAAGTATTAAGAAATTTATTTCATTTAAATTTTGTCTCCGTATGGCTCGCTGTTTAAATTGAAAGTAAAATTGGATTTGATTTCTATAATTCGCCCAAAATGCCAGCTAACGTCATTTTGCTCATAAAACTCCAGAAAAGTATGAAAATAAAACATTTTGAGTTATTTCAAAGTAAAAAATTTACTGTCTCCTCAGACCGCGCTATTTAAATTCTACCCTGTGCTGCTGTTTTATTGCATAACCGTGGCTCTTCGGTACAGCGGCTCAGAGGCAAAACAGGTTTGCAATTGCATCTGTGGAAGATTTTATTCTTCTCCTTAGAAATTCTTTGGCTACTCTAAATACATTTTGGAGAAAATAACATCATGCAGCATGGACCCTTGACAACTACATAAATCAAGCAAGGGTTCAAGTTTTGTACCTTTTACATCAAGGATGTACAGAGCCCTGTGCACTTATTTAATACAGTACATGTCTATAGCATGATGAAACCAATATCTTACAAAATGGGGGGGGGGGGGGTCTTCCTCTTCTATTTTTGAGATACAGCAAATTTCACATTCACTACAGAAAAGGATCCAAAGAGAATCTTTTATAGACAAAACAGGATTATCAATGAAGAATACATTGCTCCACTGATTCAAAGATTAATATTGATGCTTCGGACTTTAGTTTAAATGGTTGCCTCTATTCTCATGTGTGAGAAAAATACAAACTGCTGAATATCTACTGCATACACATTGCTCTGACAATTTTTTGTTTAAAAAAAATATAGAAGCTTTACTCCAGGTATAGCTGTAAATTCTGCAGACTATTACTAGGAAAATATTTGAAAAATGATTACTCAGAGTCAGTGGAAGATACCAACCCTCTCATCAGAAGTTACTCTTAGTTATTCTTGTACTGATTGATATCTAAAGTGTATTGTTACAAAATGTCAAGGCGCGGTAAGATGGCTTCCCCGCATAGCAGTTTTAGGGTTGCCATAAAATGGCAAGGGAATGCAAAGTT